GGTGAACAGATGGGCAATGTACCAAAAGTAAGTGATCAACATGGTGGCATTGAGGAAGAGGAAGACATGGAGAGCCATATGGGAGGTACAGATGAAAAAAAAAAAAAGAATAAGGACAAGAGCACGTATAATAAACGAAAGTTTAAATATCTCTGTGCATCTTTCAGTTTGTCCCAAAGAAAATCAGGTTAATATTCAATCAAAATAACTTTCCAATTTATCCAATTGTCTTAATGTTTTTAACTGTGTATTTATGAGCATTTCTTACAACATAAAAATAGCTTATAAATGCTAATAATTACCTTTTACATTATTAAACACCAAACATAAAACTAACCCAGTGTGATCAAGTCGATTCCTGCTCATAATGACCCTTTAGGACATAGGGCTTCCGTGGCTGTAAATCTTTATGGAAGCAGACTGACTCATCTTTCTCCCCTAAAGTAGCTGGTGGGTTCAAACCGTCAATCTTTTAGTTAGCAGTCAAATGCTTTAACCACAATGCCACCAAAGCTCCATAGTAACCACAGATCTAAGTAAATTTTATATATATGTATATATGTGTGTGTATGTATATACATATATATATATATATATATATATATAAACTCACTGTCATTGAGTGGATTCTGACTCATAGTGCCCCCTACTGGGTTTCCAGGGTGGTAAATTTTCGCAGATATAGATTGCCCTATCTTCCTCCTGCAGAGTGGCTGGTGGGTTTGAACTGCTAACCTTTTGGTTAGCAGTCAATATATTAGGCACTATGCTACCAGAGCTCCTTAAGTAAATTATAAGACTTAGAAATAAGCTTGCCTCAATAATTATTTCAGAAGGAAGACTGGGCAATCTACTTCGGTAGTGATACTGCCTCAGAAACCCAAAGAAGGGTCAATAATTAATAATAAAATTATGATTTACATATTCAAGGTCCCTTATTAAATTCAAAGATAGTTTTTTCCCAATTGTGGAATTATCTTGATTAAACATGTTTAAACCAAAATTATATGAAAGAAAGAAAGAAAAAATTAGTACATATAGAATAATAGAACACTGAATAAGTCCCTGCTACAAATGAGCAGCCAAGTATGTTTTGTGGACCAAGGTCTCACAAATAGAACAAACTAAAAAATATACTATCACAGGCAGCACCAAACTGCAGAATATACTTAAGTATCAAGACTTGGAGAACAAAACCTTCAGAAAGAGTGAAAAAAAGTTATTTTATTCTAAGGACTTTTCAGAGACCAGAAGACAGAACAAGAAAGGTAATACTTTTTTAATACATTAAAAAAGCAATAAAAGGATAAATGTACTCACATAAAATCATTCTATAATAGTTAAAAATACACTGGCATAAAGATATAAAAGTTTGGTATAACTGTTTGGTTTTTTTAAAAAAAAAAAAAAATCCAATAGAAGAGTAAAACTATCAGTTCTTTACTTAAAAAATCTTGAAATTTAGCCAAATGTTAATTTTAAATATCATAAAAAAAAAAATCACTGCCATCAAGTCAATTTGACTCATAAAAGAAGAACTTAAATAAGGACAAAATTCTAGTCAACAAAGCATAATTAGGTACAAGTTAAGGGTTCTTATCACATCAAATCCTAGGTGAGGTTTTGTAAAAAATTAGCCCATGTGCTTAAAAAAATTCATAGGAACACGCTTTAAATGCTAATATCGTGGTTGTTGAGGAACAAGATTACAGATAGGATATAAATCAGGATATCCTTATTGAAAATATATAAGCCAGGTAAACCATAAGTGCTGGTTGGAAGATAAAGAGATGTAGATTAATTTCATTTCCACCAAATCATTCAATATAATATTCATGTTGCCCAAATGCAGGGTATTCTGCTGAGTATGACATGGAAAACCAAGATGAATACACAAAATACATGTTCTCAAAAAACTTATGATCTAAGGGAAGAGGTAAAATACATGCTCCAAGAACTAAGTTCAAGGCAGAATTCAAAAGTGTTCTAATACACTTTTAGACAGTGAATACAGAATGGCAGAAAAGGAAGAGAGAAGAGAAATTATTTTAGCTGTAGGGACCCGTGAAGCCCAAGCATAGGATATGGTCTTTCTGCTGAGCTGTGAAGTATGGGAAAACTTTGCCAAGTAAAAGATGAGAAGATGAGGAAGGGAAAAAAGGCTAGCTTGGATTAAGCATCACTATTTGCCAGCTACTGAGAAGTACTTAAATTAATGTTCATATTCACCCTCTAAGGCACTATTATTACCCTGCTGTTGAAAGCAGGAAGCTGAAGTTTGTTGACATTTGCTCAAGCCCACACATCTAATAAGCAGTAAACCAAGATTTGAAACCAGGGTTGCATCCTTGACACTCTGCTATACTGCACTGCTAAACCAAATAATAACACCAAGCCTATAGTGACTCCCATTGGGTTTCCAAGGCTGTAAATCTTTATGGAAGTAGATTGCCCCATCCTCCACCTGCAGAGCAGCTGGTGGGTTTGAACTGCCAGCCTTTTGGTTAGCAGCCAAGTGCCTTACCCACCGCCACACCAGAGCTTCTTATATTGTCCCTCTAGGCAAAGAAAAGGTGCTCAGGTAGCGTAGTGCCTAAGACACTTGACTGTTAACCAGAAGGCTGGCAGTTCAAACCCACCAGCCACTCCTCAGAAGGAAGGTTGGGCAATCTACTTCCGTAGTGATATCACCTCAGAAACCCAAGGAGGGGTTGCTATGAGTCATGGTTGACTCAACAGCAAATAACAACAACAACAGGCAAAGAAAAAATATTGGGACTTAGACATTGAGAAAAAATGACTGATGAAGTCATTACATTTACTGAAGGGCCTCCATAGATCCTACTCTGTATAGATATATTAATGCATATAATTTCATTTCATTTTCCCATGAAGTTATCCTTATTGTTTCCAATTTTAGGATGAGAAAACTAAGACTCATGCAGTTCAAACAGCTAATAAGTACTGTTGTTGTTGTTATTGTTGTTATGTGCCGTTGAGTTGGACTCGACTCACAGCAACCCTTCCTTGGGTTTCTGAGATGGTATCACTATGGAAAGAGATTGCCCAACCTTCCTTCCAAGGGGTGGCTGGTGGGTTTGAACCACCAGCCTTCTGGTTAGCAGTCAAGTGCCTTAGGCACTACGCTACCAAAGCTCCTAGTAAATACCAGAACAGAACAGAAATTTAAACCCAAGTCTGAATCCAATGTCAGGTGAAGTCAGACATATGGCTTCACATGCATTGTCTCATTTAATATTGAAAACAGCCTTGTAAATCTGGTACTATTATTTTCTCATTTTTCAGTGTCACAAAGTAAAATGTGTTTGAAATATTGAATGGGAAACCAATTTGCTCTGTATACTTTCACCAAAATCACAATTTTAGAAAAATAATTGATTGGCTTATAAAATGAACAATATTATCTATGAGTAATGCACTTCCTTGAACAATTAACTATATGAGACCAAACAGTCAATATTTACCCAAAAGCAAAGAAAAGAAGGCAAGGAGGGGAAAGGAAGCTGGATTAATGGAAATAGAATAAACAAAATGGAAATAATGAAAATGCTAACACATTGTAAAAAGTGTAACCAATAGCATGGAAAAAATTGTTAAAAGGGAACTTAATTTGCTGTGTAAACTTTCACCTAAAAAACAATAAAATAATATCTTTAAAAAAAATTAAAAATCAGATACAGTAAATTCTCCAAGACCAAAAAGCAGTCCCAAAATTTGACCCAGCAATCTGACCTCAGAACCAGAGTTTATTCTTACCCTATGGATAAACTGCCAGTCGGGTCCAAATAATGGACAATTTCAGAAATCTGCCAGCTATGCAAACTTACTGATGATTTTTGCTGTGAAGAATATGATCAAACTATGTTTTAGAAATAAAGTCCTTTGATAGACATATCAAAATTAGATTCCTGGCACATAAAGTTTGGTAAGATACAGACATCTTATCCGTAAAGTGGCGTATATGTGTGTGTGTGTGTGTGTGTTTAAGAAGGTTAAAATTGTTTTGACTAATACCAAAACCATACCCACTGCCATTGAGTTTATTCCAACTCATAGAAACGCTATAGGACAGAGTAGAACTGCCCCAAAGAGTTTCCAAAGCTATAAATCTTTACGGAAGCAGACTGCCCCACCCTTCTCCCATGGAGTGGCTGGCGGGTTTGAACCACTGACATTTTGGTTAGCAGCCAAATGTATTGTTGTTGTTGTTATGTGCCATCAAGTCAGACCTGACTCATAGCGACCCCTCCTTTGCTATCTGAGGCAGTATCACTACAGAAGTAGATTGCCCAACCTTCCTTCCAAGGGGTGGCTGGTAGGTTTGAACCACCAGCCTTCTGGTTAGCAGTCAAGTTCCTTAGGCACAATGCACCAAATGCATTAGATATATTTAAATTGCCTAAGAAGGTCAGCTATGCAGTTATTCAGCAAGCACTCGCTTATTATTCTGACAGGTCCCTAGCAAGGTGGTGTAATACTTTGTTTAGCATAAAGTGCATTAGGTTAATTGAGTATTGTACTTTTCTATAGATTTCCTTACATAGTGGTGTAGAATTTGCAAGTTGTCTATTTGATAAATAAGCCTGCCTTCTCAAAGACAAACAGGAATAGAGGAGAGAGGAAAAAGATCAACTGAAGTAGATTCACTTTTTACAATCCATTTTGCTTTTTGGCTGCCAAACGTCTTATACCAACATTATCCCAAGGTAATCACCCAAACGGCCTGGGGTTGTCCAGCTACAAAATAGGTTCAACATTCCCCAATGACAAGCTGAGTTAAAAGCTCTGACTCATCCTAACATTCTGCATCAATTCTTTATGAGTCCCAGAACCCCAAAGTCCTTCAGTGACTCCCTTTCCTTGCACATTCTCTTTCAAATTCCTGAAGACCTACCTCTTAAGAATCATTGTTAACCACTTAGTTATTTTCTCCTTCTTCCCTCCATCCCCACTGATCCCACTTCTAACCTCCCACTCACCAGGTGCAGGGCCAGGGGCAGCAACAGGAGAAACAGCCATAGGTAGAGGTGGCAGCTGTTGGTGAACTTGCTCTCCTCGGGGTCGTGGTACCAGCCACCAGTGAGTGCGGCCCACACGCCCTGCCGGAGCAGCTGCAGCGCCTGGGATACCATGCCTGCTGCGACCTCGGGGCCAGGAAGCAAGGAAGCGGCACCCTACCCTCTTCTGCCCTGGTAGCCCGGAGCCCTCAGCTTTAACACCGGGCCTTTCGGAAGGGGCCACCGCCACCGCTGCCGCCGCCGCCCCCTCCACCTCCTTCCCCGCCACGACCGAAGCTGGAGCTGTTCTTCTGCACTGATCCTCGAGCCACGGCGCCGGAGCCGGCTGCTGCCGCCGGGCAGGGGAACGCCATGTCCGAAGGAGGAAGGATTTTCCCGTCGTGCTCTGAGGCGCTGCTGATGTTGCAGAGGCTCCTCCCCACGCCCGCCCCGCGAACCTCCGCAGACCTTTGAGGGGGGAGTCTGAGAAGGATTTCTGTGAGTTGTTCCAGCCCCTCTTCTTTTGTCCAAATTCCTCAGATTAGAGGGTACAACAGTCTTAAATATCAAGGATGTTCTTATGTAGAAAGGATAAATGAGGACACATCCCTTCACTTTTTCTGTCTTTTGCTGTCCACACCAAAATATTTACCAAACTGAAAATGTTTTCACACACCACTCAGTGTAATTTCTATCCCTGATTATTTCTTGCACAGCTTTCTTCTCCTTAATTGATCCCTGACTCTGGCATTCTGTTCTGCTCAGCACTACACCTTTGGCTCTGACCTCTTCTCCTCCCTGCCTAACTCTTTCTGCTTATCATCCCTGTTACACAACTTGGTGGAGAAAGAAGATAACTGCCTTCCTGAAATACTTTTAGAATCTTCAGTTAAGCTGCTTATATTTTTATCTATTTGCTAGAACATAACCCCGGGCATCAATTGGCTATTTAAAATATTATTCTGGCTCCTTCTTTACTGTTTTGATAGGAATATCCACTAGAAAGAATCCCTGAGCTAATTATCTGTAAACTACACTTACAATATGAAACTTCAGATTCTTTTCTGAGAGCAGATTTTGGAAAGGGGAAAGATAAAGGAACTCATCTTCCTTAGCAATGAGCAAAGGAAGCCCTGTGTGAGTATGATCTTTGGGGGATTAGACGCCTAGGTGATCCCCAAATACACCTCTACTTCATGCTTACCTTGTCTATCCCTAACATTACACACCCTCTCTAATGTCGCACCTTTATGTATCCTGTCCATCCTCTTGTCCGCAGTAGCACTTGTGTGTCAGTGACAGTGCAATCACAGTGACAGTATTCCAGCCTTCTCGTGCTGAAATGAGGTAAGGGGAGGTCCACCCCAATGAGAGGCTTCAACACACAAAAGTCCACTGAATTGAAGCAAAACCTCATCACTGGAGTTTCTGCCTTCAGCCTCAACCATTCTTCAATCTTCTCTACACGCCACTCTCAGAATTACTAACATGATATAATATTCCTGCTTTCTGTATTTTAATAATAATCTTCTAAAAGCATGGAGAATACTAGTTTTATATCATCTCAGTGGTTGAAAATACCAGGTACTCTATAAATTTTACTGAATGAATCAATTAATCATTTGGTAACACTGGCAGTAACACTGACATTGAAGAACTGTCTTTATATACATGAGGCACAGTAGTGTAACAAGTCCTTTCCTGCCTATGAGGGGTTGTTCTTTATTTGTGACTGATTCATCAAATGTTTATTGAGTACCCTCTGTGAAAACGTCACCTTTGGCTGAAGACTGAGGAAGCAAATATAAATAAAATGCAGTCCCTTTCATGAAGAAATCCATGGACTATTTGAGGAGACAGACAAATCAACAGACTTGTAATGAAATGTGCTAAGTGCTAAAACAGGAATATGCACATATTAAGAAGTTAAAACACTGAAGAAGAAACATGTTCAAGTATATGGTAGGCATGGTTGTGCCAAATAGACTGAGAAAGACACATTCAAATTGAGCTGGAATTTCAGGCCCTTCAAACAGACAGATGTGAGTGGCCAACAAAAGAATATGGGAAATAAATGTAAGGAAAGAGAAACATGGTATCTCTGGATAAATATCAGTGTAGTCTAATATGGCTAGAAGATAGGACTGGGAAGGGAGAAAGTGGAATAGTGGTCAGAAATATGCAATGAGTAAGTTTGTTCTGTGAGTAATATAAAATATGCCAGAACTTATTTTCATGAATGGAACAACATTGAAGGGTTTGAAGCATGGATGTGATGTGATCATCAGAAGGAAATGTTGAACACCTAAATAGCAGAAATGGAGATGAAGATGAGGGATTAGATATGACTTATGACTTAGAGACTCTTAAATTATCTTATGACTCTCCATTTTTTATTGGGATAATTGTGCTGTAAAATCAACTAAGTTATGGAATTTGGGGAATTTTGCAGAAAAAGATGACTATGCTGAGTTTGAGTTGCCAGCTGGTGAGAGTTCTGAAATAGAGATATAGGCTTGAGATAAATCAGCATATGGTCCCATGAAAGGGAATGACAATGTCCTGAAAATTAATGTGGACTAAGAGAAGAGGCCTGGGAATCACAAGGATTAAGGCATAGGCAAGATAAATAGAGGAAGGAAAGCAGGAGACAAAGTTGAGCCTGATATCACCAAATACAAGAGGAAAGAGCAGTTCAAGAAGGAAGTGGCTCATAGAGTCAAATGCCATTTGTTGTTTACTTAGTTGTTGTTCAGTCTATTCAAACTCATGCCAACCCAATGTATTACACAGTAGAATTGATCCATAGGGCTTTCTTGTCTGTAATCTTCACACAAGTAGCTTCCCAGGGCTTTTCTTCTATGGCACCACTGAGTAGGTTCGTCTCACCCATCTTTTGGTTTCCAGCCAAGTGTAAACAATTTGTGCCACGTAGCAACTTTGCCAAGTGCCACTGTTGTTAGGTGCTGTTACATCGGGTCCCACTCATAGCAATTCTATTTACAGCATAATGAAACTCTGCCTGGTCCTACACCATCCTCACAATCATTACATGTTTAACCCCATTGTTGCAGCCAACTGTGTGTCAATCCATCTTACTGAGGGTCTTTTTCTTTTTTGCTGGCCTACTTTATTAATTACAAATTAATTATTTATAATTATTAATTATAAAATACTTTATTTATTACAGTGCAGGAGAAGAAACCCCTTAGGTCAGAAGGCTTTCAAAATTCGACTAGGAAAGAGCTGTATCATCAAAGTAGGACCAACCTTCCTGATATGGATAAAGTAAAGCTTTCAGGACCGCTATTAGCTGATATGGCACGACTCAAATTGAGGAGAAACAGCTGCAAACATCCATTAATAATAGGAATATGGAAGTATGAAGTATGAATCTAGGAAAATTGGAAGTTGTAAAAAATGAAATGGAACATACAAAGATTGATATCCTTAGGCATTAGTAAGATGAAATGGACTGGTTTGGCCATTTTTAATCAGATAACCATATCTACTATGCCGGGAATGACAGTTTGAAAAGGAATGGCATGGCATTCATCATCACAAAGGATGTTTCAAGATCTGTCCTGAAGTTCAATGCTGTTAGTGATAGGATAATATCCATATGCCTACAAGGAAGACCAGTTAATATTATTATTCAAATTTATGCACCAACCACCAAAGCCAAAGATGAGGAAATTGAAGATTTTTATCAACTTCTGCAGTCTGAAATTGACCAAACCTGCAATCAAGACGTGTTAATTATCACTGGTGACTGGAATGCAAAAGTTGGAAACAAAGAAGAATCACCAGTAGTTGGAAAATTTGGCCTTGGCGACAGAAACAATGCTGGAGATTGCATGATAGGATTTTGCAAGACCAATGATTTATTCATTGCAAATACCTTTTTTCAACAACACAAATGGTGGCTATACATGTGAACTTTGCCTGATGGAGTACACAGGAATCAAATTGACTACATCTGTGGCAAGAGGAGATGGAAAGCCTCAATATCTTCAGCCAAAACAAGACCAGTAGCTGATTGTGGAACAGACCATCAATTGCTCATATACAAGTTCAACCTGAAGTTGAAGACAATTAAAACAAGTCCACAAGAGCCAAAATATGATCTGGAATATATCCGTCCTGAATTTAGAGACCATCTAAAGAATAGATTTGATGCATTGAACACCAATGACCAAAAACCAGAAGAATTGTGGGATGACATCAAGAACATCATCCATGAAGAAAGTAAGAGATCATTAAAAAGACAAGAAAAGAAGAGAAGACCAAAATGGGTGTCAGAAGAGACTCTAAAACTTGCCCTTGAACAGAGAGTAGCTAAAGCAAACGGAAGAAATGACAAGATAAAAGAGCTGAACAGAAGATTTCAAAGAGCAGTTTGAGTGGACACAAAGCCAATTACTATAATGAAATGTGCAAAGACCTGGAGTTAGAAAACCAAAACCTGTCTTCAAGGCAAAAGGGAAAAACATGCTCAGCATTTCTCAAGCTGAAAGAACTGAGGAAAAATTTAAACCTCAAGTTACAATATTGAAAGATTCTATGGATAAAATATTGAACGATGCAGGAAGCATCAAAAGAAGATGGAAGGAATATACAGAGTCATTGCACCAAAAAGAACTGGTTGATGTTCATTCATTTCAGGAGGTGGCATATATTCAGGAACCAATGGGATTGAAGGAAGAAGTCGAAGCTGCACTGAAGGAATTGGCGAAGAACAAGGCTCCAGGAATTGATGGAATATCCATTGAGATGTTTCAACAAACAGATGTCCCACTGGAGGCACTCACTTGGTTATGCCAAGAGGTTTGCAAGACAGCTACCTGGCCAAATGACTGGAAGAGATTTGTATTAGTGTCCATTTCAAAGAGAGGTGATCCTACAGAACGTGGAAATTATCAAACAAGATCATTAATATCACATGCAAGTAAAATCTTACTGAAGATAATTCACAAATGGTTACACTAGTATATTGACAGAGAACTTCCAGAGGTACAGGCTGGATTCAGAAGAGGATGTGGAACAAGGGATATCATTGCTGATGTCAGATGTATCTTGCCTCAAAGCAAAGAATACCAAAGAGATGTTTACTTGTGTTTTATTGACTATGCAAA